CTACAGATCGGAGCAATCTCAGCTTTCCCGGTTGGCCTCATGCACGGACGAGCCGGCCGGGCAGGCGAGCACCGAATTCGCTGACTATTATCGTGACGGTGAGCAGCCATTTTTTGCTTTCTCTTGCCGCAATGATAAAACCTCAAACAACCATTTATTTGTTCGATCACAAACATACTACTATCAAAATTTAAGTACGACGTGATCACGCCAGTTAATTCCGCCGACATGTAGGAGCGATAAAGGCTCAAGTTAGCCTGCAGACTAGTCATTATGATGCAATAATTATGTTGCCTTATAATATTAAATGAATATAAATATAAATAAATTTACTGACATATAATATGTTATAATACTTGCATTTAACTATTATAGTATAATAATAGCATATTTTACCTAGATAATATATATGTATAATATAATATTATTATAATGCATACCATATTTTTAATATAATATATAAGATAATGTATAATTTAATAAGAATATATTATATTCATTCTATTATGTAGTATTGAATAACATTATAAAAGAGAAAATAATATAATATAACAGCAAAATATTTAGAATACTGTTATATAGAAATATATACAAATTTAATATATAATTATAACATTATACTAAATGCGGTATATTGTAATGTGATATGAAAAAAATTGGCATATATTGTCTATAGTATTATGTATATATTATAATATATTTGTATATATTATTTTCAATTATTTAGTATACATTAACTTAGTGAAATTACTTCATTTGTATGCATACCAGAGGTCGATTGCAGACTCCTCTGCAATGTCAGGAGGTCACGAGTTGTTTTGAAGACTGTTTCGGAATCCTCTGCGAAAGCAGACTCTGCAATTATAGACCATCAGGGTGCTCGAAACGAAACAATTCCTTTCAAAAGCGTGTATATTTAATATGCTTTAAAATGTATCTATTAACATAATTATTCAATCTGGCCATTTGCATTAGGCCCTGACCGGAGGCCCTCTCCGAACGCCACTTCCGTCTGCCAACTGGTCCCGGCCGGCCTTCATTTGACATCGCATGCGGAGCCGCAAGTCGAGCCGCGGCACCAACCGGTCTCATGCGAGTCGCCGGGGCAACTGTTTCTGCCGGTCGCCTCGAGCGGAGCTGGTTCGGATGCCATCAACCGCTTCTTCCTCCGCCTTGCCCGACTGCTCGACACATCCGAACGGTTCGACTGCTGTACCGCCGCTCCACAAAGCCGGGACTCGAACTCAGCCACGAGTGTACGCCCCGAGGCTGGAGGCCTCGGCAACGACGCCATCGCGGCTGGCAACAACGTCGCTGCTGCCACGCACTGTTCACCCATTCAACTCTGGCAATTCCTTGTGGAAGAGTTGGTTGCCAGGCGACCTCAAATGAGTGGCCGGGTGGAGACGGAGCGCGGCCACATCGAGTGGACGGGTCGTGGGATGGAGTTCCGACTGACGAACCCGGACGAGGTGGCCAGACGTTGGGGAGCTCGTAAAAACAAACCTTTGATGAACTACGAAAAGTTGAGTCGTGGCCTGCGCTACTATTACGACAAGCGCATCATCGAGAAGGTCGTCGGAAGAAGATATGTCTACAGATTTTCCACCTCCATCGAGTCGGTCATGCGACAGACGTTGCCGTCTCACTGGCTGCCGGTCGCCGAGGCGGACGAGTCTCTCCGAGACGCCGTCGAGCCCTCCACCAGCGAATACGCAAAATAGTCACATTCCAGCCTACATGACGCACAGACACACAATGCCGTCGGCCTCAACATGTACATACGCAACGATGCCTTGTAGAAATGCTTGCGATTTCAATAAAATTGAACTTTTGATGAAATATTGTCACTATGGCAACCAATGCAGGGTGCGGCATATTCGACAGACCGATTCTAGACGATGTCATTGTCGTTCCAGAGAGTACCTGCCTCGATAGTGGACAAGACGAGATGACGGAATTCTGTGAAACAGGCCGAGTCGTTTGGTAAATTGGGTTGGGTCTTAAGAAACGGATTTTTAGAGCTTGTTTAAATCGCATCAGCTTGACGTGGTAAGTTGTTGAAATGTAAGTTTTCTCAACAATTGCCAATCAACAGACTCCTCACAATAAAACTCATCTGTTAGCAACTAAAGCGGCTTCATCTCGTTTTGGCAATTTGTTCGTGTTGTCATGGTGACCTCGAATGTAGGTCTCTTGTCCAAACTGGTCTGGCAACAAAGTCAAGCTAATTTCAGGCATCGGAACTTGCAATCGGTACATTCTCAGACGTATTCTCAGACTCTTTATTTTCGGTACTAAGTAGCGCATCACAAGTGACATCCTCCTGTCCAACTACAATGACCTCTTCGTATTTCCCTCCCTGTCCTGCAAAATCGTCTCGATCACTTAATTTGGCAATTCATTCGTGTTGCCAGGGCGATTCTGAGTAGGTCGATTTCGGTGAAACTCTCCCATCAACTCTTGCCTCATCTCCAGATCGACAAGAGGTTCTCCAGACAATTGGGTTGTTTCCTACAAACCTCAAATCGTGGCGCTTCTTTGGGGCGATTGCCGGAAACTGTACCAAGAGACAGGTTGTAGTGCATCGGGAAGCATGAATATTTTCTCAATTCCTTTCGATTCGGTCGGTGACTCCATGACTGCTTCAATCCACTTTTGACCAACTCGATCTTGTCGTCAAGGCGAGCTGAAATGACATGGTCGCCTTGACAACAACATGCCATGTGTAGTGAATACGTTGAAATTCAGCTCAATTCTCATTCATTTTATCATCAAAATATTTATGAATAGAAGTGCTTTGATCCAAATACGTCAGCTAAACCCATCTCCTCTGAAGTGGCCATTCTAATTGGCTCCATTCAACCGTCTACTTGGTACCACACCCTTTTCTGACACATCATTATCGACACAACGCGTTCAACAGGACAAAGTGGGCAACACGAGATTAGCCAACTTGTATGAATGCCATCTTTTCACCCGGTTTCACTTAGGGCAATGGAAGATTGGTAGTTGAGTTTTCCTACAATTTGATGAGTAGAGCTTCGCAAAAGTTGCGATTTCGCCTCTTCTGGGTCTTGTCAACACCCCTCCCCGTGACAGTGAATACTTCTCATATACGTCATTTAATGATAGATTGTCTCGAGACTACTTCGACTCGTGTTGTCAAAAAGTCTGAAAGTGGAAAAATGGAAATTGTCTCGATAACTATGAAAGAGGATTCTAGACATGTTGAATTCATTTTAGGTCACCATGACTACCTGAACATTTGCAAAAACCCTTTTCTATCAAAAGCTATTTGGTTAGATCTAAAAATTCAAGTCCTTGGCTGTGGAAAGATGCAAATCGTGAATACTGGTACCGCGAGAAAAAAAAATGTTATCCCAAACTTCTTTAATTTGGTAGCTGTCACTAGGGCTTCAGTGCCTTCATAAAAACTTGATGGCGCTTGGATTCGAGGTTCCATCAAGTATCCATTGATGAAAATGTTTTCACCTCTGCTCGATGAATAATAGTCCAGTCTCGTCTTGTTCACTTGAACTTGTGATGGTGCAAGTGGAGAGATGAGCCGAGAGACGCCGTAACTGTTGAGCAGAATGTTTGTCATCAAATGGATTTCACATGTCGCTTTTATCGAATTGTAGTTTGGCGCTAAGACTGGAAAAACTGACGAAAGATGATAAATTCGATGCTGAAAAAACGTCTGGGAATGTATCAAGCGCATGCGTCTAGACAGGAAATTAGCATGCCTAATTTTGCAAACGATTCCGGACAGAGTGGGATCATTTGAGTCACCATGGCAACGCGCCAAAAGTCAAATTTCTTGTATCTGGCGCAAGGAGGCCATGAGCAAAGTAGAGGCTACACCATTTTGGTCTTCATCTCTCAAATTGCTCATAATTGTATCGGCAAGAGTAATGAAGTTTCGCCCAGACTGTGTCTTGCAAGCAGACGATGCAGTTTTTCCCATATTCATTCGACTAGACCAAATTATATCTTCCAATGCTAGAGAAGAGCGTGGCATGCACATTTTGTCAACACTTCACCCGTAAACCCACATGAATCACTCTATTTTAGTGGGTTATTTAGGAGAGGCCAATTTGATGTTAATTTTGATGTTGACAATTCTCGATCCAATCGGCATTTTTGATCAAGAATTTAATTAATATATTATTAATAGTCAGCCTAGACCACGCAGAGGGATGAAGGAGTTATTTTTCGTTTATAAATAGGGTTTCCAGACTACTAGTAAATCGCTTAAATGAAATAAAGGATTTATAGCGAAATTATTCAACGAACATATTTATCCGTAATATCGAATGCTACTTAAATTAAATATAAGTAGCCTAGTTTTTGTCATGAAAATATAACTATTAAATCACATCAAGCGGCTTGGAATGACTAATCTCTCATTAAAAAATTACTGGTAGCCTCTCCTAAATTCATTTGTACTATGAATAAGGCCTGAACTGCCCGTGACCTACTGATACCCATTAAGTTTGGCAAAACGTACTCGGTTTAGTTGTTTTAATGTGATTTGAGGAGTGATCACTGCGCCTCACTTGGTCCCATTCCAGGTCGTCTGGACTGGATCCACCTCACCATCTCTCATCATCATCCCCAGCGGGACGGAAAGACGCTAATCACGCCCAATATAAATCAGCATTTTGTATTGTGGGTTTGTCGATTAAGTAAACATATATTTTCCAGTGCAATTGACGATAATACTTATTTGTGATATAAGTAGGCTTTTAAAATATAAAGGTCTACTAATCTGATTGTAGGTGAACCGATCTATCAGTTCTTAAATTACATAAAGCGACCGCAACTGATAGTTTCAACCGGAGAATCAGATCTCGCTTTATTGTGCCTTGGCGCTCCAAGGCATGTAAGCAAACACAACACAACACAAACACACATACACACCAGCACAAACGTACTCACGAAAAATGGGATATCCAAATAGGCTGTATTTTTTTAAGATATGCTTATTTTGTGGGTATATGCGGCAGTTATTCGTTTATAATTTAATTTATGGGTATTTAGGAAATAGTGGCATT